TCCCAGCTACTCAGGAGGCTGAGGCAGGGGAATCGCTTGAACCCAGGAGGTGGAGGATGCCGTGAGTTGAGCTCCTGCCATTGCACTCTAGCCTGGGCAACAAGAGCGAAATTTCGTATCAAAAAAAAAAAAAAGAAAGAAAAGAAAAGAAACTCTGCATTTAATTAGGACCACACAGTTCCGAACTACATATGTTCTCTGTTTCAGTAGTACCTTCCCCTATATGTGTGCTTTGTGTATTACCCCAGGAGACGATATCTCTGTTTTTCTTCTAAAACATTCAAAATGTTCACCATAATCCTAATGTGATTGTAATGGTTAATTTTTCATGTCAATGAGGCTTGGCTATGATGCTGAGTTATTTGGTCAAACACCAGTCTATATGTTCTGTGAAGACATTTAAAAAATAGGATTAACATTTAAATCAGTAGGCTTTGGGTAAAGCAGATTATGCTCCACAACGTGAGCGGGCCTCACTCAGTCAGTTGAGGGCCTTAAGAGCAAAGACTGAGGTTTCCCTTCAAGGATAAATTCTCAACACTGCAACACAGAAACTGCCTGAGTTCCATCCTCCTGCCCTTTGGAATCCATACTCAAAACTACAACATCAAGTCTAACCTAAGTTTCCAGCCTGCTGGCCGGCTCTGCAGATTTCAGATTTGCCAACACCCACAAGCATGAGAGTCAATTCCTTAAAAATCAACCAATGAATCTCAATCTCTTGCTTTCTCTACATATCTTACTAGTTCTGTTTCTCTGCAGAACCCCGACTAATACAGCTATCTATATTAATCCACTAAACATTGGCTGTTCAAATATCCCTATGGGAAAAAAATAGAAAAAATTAAAGAAGAAAAAACATTTACGGTTTATACCACTGGAATGCTAAAAACAATGTTTAAGGATAAGATGCTGTTAAGAAAACCAAAGGTTCTGCGACACTATCAGACAATGTCCACTGTTCCTTGGGGCCTGCAAATGAGGTCAAATATATCAACAACATCTTCTCACAAGAGAAGCGTCATCTGTATTTTTCCATGTACTTGACAGTCTTTAATTTGTCTCTGGAAATAATCATGGAAAAAAAATTAACAGATGTTTCAAATAATACATAATTTTAACAATTTTTACCCTGTTTTGTGGTCCCTTCTTGGATAAGAAAGGGCATAACAGGATTCTTCATAAGGGAACTAATAGCTTTTCCAAAAGAATGCAAAGGCGACAAAACAATACCTTGCCTGACTTGCTTACCATGTCCACATTAAAAATAGCTTCTAAAACTGTATCTGTCATGAAAGAAGGCAGTCTTTGGCTAGTATTTACAACATAAGCAGAATATTCATAATTGAGGACAGGAGGTTTTCCTAATGTTCACTTTTTATATCTAATTCCATCACTTGTCTGTGAGATGAAGATAACAACATTCCCAAATGGTACTGGCATCTTTATATGTGGCCTTCATGGCCAGGTTCAAATGGCAGTGAAGTTTCCTGTAAGTGGTAATGTTGTAAATGGGAATGTTGGCAAGGTAGAAATCCTCTATCCAATTCCCCTGCTCATAAAAGAGCCAGGGCCCATTTTTCAATCAGGTTACACACTACAGAACCCCAAAAGCAAAGCAACTCCGACAACGATTTGGCCATTCTGAAGGCCAAATAGCTAACACGACAGCTTTTCATAATGGAGCTTAAAGACGTTCCACCCTGATAGCACTCCCAGAGATAACTGGAGAAGTCATAAACCGATTACAACAGCAATGCAACACAGTCCCATAATGAGAATGAAAATCCCCTGGACAGAACATCCATATTTATTAAGCAACTCAGGCTGAAAATCAAGCAAATAAAAGGGCATGTAAAAATGTTATCTATTTGATTTGCTGACAAGCCCACCTCACCAAAAAGACTTATTGCTCTTCCTCAAGACACTATGTACCTATCCTGACTGAGGACATTATTGCAGCTGAACTAATGGAGATGGAACACATAACATTACCAAAATAGAAGGTTGAAAGTAGAGAGGGCCTCCAGGTCACAATAGTGTGAAAACACTGTATAGAATCATTCTTCTCCATCTCTCAAGTGCTACACTTGGCAAAAGCTGCTTCAGAAAACAGCTGTGGGACCTGAAATTTCCAATCCATGACTGGCTACATTCTATAAATTGGGTTCTTTAAATTCTAACTGCAGCTGTTTAAGAATAAAAAATACCTTCATCTGGCCACACAGTAGATAAAATGCCACTAGGTATACAAGAGTTCCCCTTTATCCTCAGGAGATAAATTCTAAGGCTCCCAGTAGATGCCTGAAACTGCAGAGTACTAAACCCTCTCTCTCTATATATATATACACATACACACACACACACACACACTCTTGTTTTTTTCCTATATATACATACCTATAATAAAGTTTAGTTTATAGATTAGGTCAGTAAGAGATTAACAATAACTAATAGTAAAAGAGAACAATTATACTGCAATAAAAGTTATGTGAATGTGGTTTTTCTCTAAAGAT